TTTTTTTAAGATTTTATTTATTTATTTGACAGAGAGAGACACAGCGAGAGAGGGAACACAAGAAGGGGGAGTGGGAGAGGGAGAAGCAGGCTCCCAAGGAGCAGGGAGCCCGATGCGGGACTCGATCCCAGGACCCCGAGATCATGACCTGAGCTGAAGGCAGTCGCTTAACCAACTGAGCCACCCAGGCGCCCGCGTGTTTATTTTTCTACCACGGTCAGTAGCGCTTTGTCTGCTTAATGTCACATGGCTGGTAAGCCCTGAGGCTTCCTCTTACGAAAGGCGGATCTTTTGAAAGCCATTTAACTTTAAAGAAAGGGAAAGGGAAAGCTTTTTGTTCAAAATTCAATTTGATGTTGCCGAAACCTACTTCACGGGGTTCTATTGCGGCGCTTCAACCTGCAAGAATTCCTCCCCTGTGAGGACTGTAACCACACACTAGTTTGCTAACAGAACCCACAGCAAATGTCCCCAACCCAGCACTGAGCTGCTCCAGCCCTGGCGGGGGCCTGGGCTCAGACCCGAGCGCATGGGGGAGAAGGGGGGGAAGCAAGAGCGATTCTGAACACCAGGCACAAGGCCAAAGGTACATCAAACCCATTTTCATTCAGAGACTTTTGATTGGCTTTGTTAAACGAAATTTTACTTAAAATCGGTGGCCGCGATTACGTTTTTAGAAACAGTCTGGAGCAGACAGTGAATAAGTGCTCCTAAAAAATGCTCCTAAGTCTCGGGCAGCTTTGTAGGAGATCTCCTCCCTGCCTTCGAAGGCCTGGCTCCCACGAGAGGAGCCCTGCCTGTGGCCTTGGCACTGAGGACCGCTTCACTAGTGTTGGGTGACCGGTGCGTCAACTCCCCCGATCTTTAGAACATGACGTGACTTCAGGAATTCCCCAGGCTTTCTTGCCTTCGTCCCTGTTGCCTCAGTTCACACAAGCCGTAGACACCCGTCAAAATGGAAGAAAGCTTATCATGGAGTTTTCCCTTAGTTTTGATGAACTGTAAAAATATACCTGAATCAGCCATTCCGTGTTTGCTTATTAGCATGTTGGTTTGTTTTTTTGAAGTTTCCATTTTCTTAATTTCACTTCTGCTGAAGGATAATGATAACACTGGAGTTGTAAACTGCTGTCAGCTCCACTATCAGAAGAAAAGTAAGAATGAAATTATTCCCCACAAAGGAAGATTTCACTCTCTTGGAATCAAAAACCGAGAAGTAATGAAATGCACACGGGGCCTTTATTCATGTGAACCAAAGAACCAAAACTGTACTTCAGCAAAAGTAGTCCAATCTGAATTTTGCTCATTAGTGATCAAATATTTATTTCCAAATTATAGCATCAACTTACAGGAACAAAAGCTCACCAATGGCCCAGAAAAATGGTTTGGTCTCTCTGGGAGAAGAAAAACGTCTTTGCCACCAGGGCAAGGAATCTGTTATTCTGTGTAGCTTTCAGAAGAGAGGTCGCACGTTTCCTTATTGATTTTACTTCCTATTTGGTAGCAAAATAATGTGAGAAGAGGCAGTGAACATTCCTGGCGACAAGCCCAGATGTTGAAAAATATGTGTCGGGACATTTCTGAGTCCCATCTTTTTCCCAGAGATTTCATGGCAGATGAGCCTTGGCACCCTACATCATCGGGGACACGACCACATGGGCACACTTTAGGAGGGAGTTTTCTGACAACCCATGACTAACAAACACACCAGTTGGGTTCCAGCTGTGTGCCTGGAATTCCCTAGTATTCCTGTCCCACAGCCTGGTGGCTCCAGCCAGTGGTTCCCGGGAATTTGTCGCCAAGGCACAAGCAGGCCACACGAGGAAGCCATGCCCCCTATTCGCCCTTGTTTGTACGAGGAGGTAAGGAAAGGGGTCATTCCATTCCAGCGAAGGTTAGAGGAGTAGAGAAGGGATTTTAAAGAGCTGCACTAAACTCTACCTCTAAAACGAATGATACGGTATATGTTAACTAAATTGAATCTAAATAAAAAATAAAAACTGCAGTGTGGTTGATTTGATCTGAAACAATTTTGAATATCCCTGTGTCCTCAGGCAACATTAGAAATACCGAGAAGCTGAGCTATGACAAGCAACGCCAGTATGAGATCCTGGTGACCGCCTATGACTGTGGACAGAAGCCCGCCGCTCAGGACACGCTGGTGCAGGTGGATGTGAAGCCAGTTTGCAAGCCTGGCTGGCAAGGTGGGCCATCTCTTGTCAGTCCTGTTGAGTGAAGGCAGCTTGGCTTGGTGTATAGACGGGGCTGACCTGTCCTAAAGATCATCACAACCCATAGCTAGAGGAATTTTTTAAGTGTGGTCATGCTGCTGCAAGAAATAGAGTAGCTTGTTGATTCTTACAACTCCGAGGTGACATATCATCCTCATTTTACAGCTGAGAGTGTCCCAGGCAACTCGTCTACTGTCACGTGCCCCGTTTGTCCAGTGCGCCCTTTCTAAAATCTCATGACACTTTGGAATCAATAGTGATTATTGCACAGTGCTTAGGAGAAAGCACCAGCAAGCCTATTCACTTTATCTAAGGGAAGGAGTCTAGCTGGAATGCCTCAAGTTTGCATCATCACTCCTGGGGCAGATTGTCCTGTTCTTTGGGCTGGCTCAGAAGGCGTACGGGCAGAATGCAGCCTTTGGATGAAGGAGTTTCTCAAATGTTGGTTCTGGGAATGGAGAAGCATCAGCCTGAGGTGGAGGTGGATTTTTGCCGTGGTGTAGATATTTTGGTGTGCAAAGACCGAGCAGGGGTTCAGGTTCCCCCGAGGTGACACAGGTGTAGTGCTGACCTAAAGGAAATGAGGAGCACGAGGCCAGTTGCATAGAGGGATCTCGCAGAGAACTGGATGGTTTATGGAATACCAGTAGCTCTCGTGGTGACGCCAGTATTTCAGTGGCCAGGCCAGGAGCCTGGCAGTATCCCTGCCCCCATTTCGGTGGCTCAGCCACTGCAGTTTCGGCTTCCTGGGTCACTGCAGCTCGCCGGCTGCCACCCACTCGAAACTTAGGGCATTTCACCGAG